TCTTGGAAGTTGAATTTGGCGTTCCATGATCCCCGAGCAGGCCGTCGGGGTCAAGCGCGCGACATGCATTCAGACGGGTGGCCTCGCTCCGTCGGCCACGCGCGGCGCGTCCGTCAGCGGCGTCGCTGGCCACGCGCTGAATCCGATCAGGGCAATCGGTGGCTGGCGTGCGCCCCGCTGGCAGCATCTGCATGGGCATGCCCATGCACAGCCAGCCGCTGTACGACCCGCTCTACGTGGCGACTGCCAGCATCGCTTACATGTACGCACCCATGTTCAGGGAAGGCCGGCTGGAGCTGGCGGCCTCGCAGCGCGCGTGGTAGTCTGCGAACGTGCAGATGCGCTCACAGCCCAGCTGGTCTCGCGCCCGAGGCCCTGTCGCGGCGTCGCGGCTCACGCTACTTCGGATCGGATGTCAGCTCTGCTCGGCCACGGCGCTTGAGACCTACCTGGGCGCAGTCCTGAACCTGCAGGAGATGGCGCCCCGAGACGTCCTCGACCAAGTCGCGCAGGGCGTCGCGCGCTGGCTGCTGTCGCGCGCTGAAGCCCACATTCCTGCGCACCGTGGCGAACAGTTCTGTCGCCGTGGCGTTCGTCGGTGCGCGGAGAAAGCCGTTCGGGACCTGTCCGAACGAGGTTCGCTGCAGCGCGCGTGGACTGACGCGACGTGGCCTCGACAGAAACAGTTTGAGAGAGAGGGTTGATTTCTGAAGGGCGGTGCCTTGCGCGCGGAGCCAGGCGCGAGACCGTAGGTCACCGCTGGCACCAGTGCCCAGCCTTATCCGACCCCAATCTGCACTCGCAGGAAACGCCTGGGAACTTTACAAAGGCCCGCGAGCGCCTCTGCCAGTTGGCTCTGGAGATTGCATAGGAGGACCCTCGTGATGCTGCGCAACTTGCCTGCGCTATCCTTATCAGGCCGCCCCCCTCTGAGACCCCGCCCAAGTGCCCCGATGTCGCGCGCCAGTCGGGTGGCCCCGATGTGCCTTGGAGCGGTCGTTTGTACACCGATGGTGGTGGTAACGGAATGGGCGCTCCCCGAGATATCGAGATGCTCGAGGGCCGTGGTCCAGCTGCGAGACGGCGACTGCCCTTGCAAGGCGATTTTGTTTTTTTCTCCCCGGTGTGCAGACCGTGGCCAGAGCTGAAAGATATGCAGGGCTCGTCGCCACTTGCTTTTCCCCCCAGGTCTCTCGTCTGATGTTGGACCCTTTGAGTTTTTTGGGGGAAGGGCAACGGCGGGGCCCCAGCGACGCGACTGCTTCGGCCGGCCACGCTGCTCTCCTGGACAGCCTCTCGTGCCACCGCGGCCCGCCGGGGCATGGGGGGCGCCGTCTTGCGGGCGGAGTTCCCCGCGCACATCCTTGGCTCGGGCCATCGAGCCCGGTTTCAGCCAGCCCAGCTGATGGTCTATTCCGCCGCATCCAGTTTCGCCTCGAGGAGGCCTGCCTGAATGCCAAGTTCATAGGGCGGGCTTCTGCTCGCGCGGCTGGCTCGGGAGTCTGGGGCCCCGCGGGGGCCGACCCTAGACGTCCCGGGCCTGAGCTCAGTACCTCAGTGGCCCCGAGGTTGCTTTCTTTCGTTGCGCATGAGTGTGCGGTGCCCCCTGGGCTGGAGGGGGGGGGGGTCCGTTGCGCGGCGCGCGACCGCGTGGCTCGCGCCCTCGAGGCCCGCGGGGGCCTTGGGTCGCGCACCCGCGCGCGGCCTCCCGCCTAGCCAGGACCCGTGCCCAGGTGGCCATGATGGCCGAGGGGGTTAGCCCTGCCCCTCCTCGCCCGTTTCCCGCCGCGCCCTGGGCGTTGGCCGCCGCTGCCGCTGCCGCTCCCGCGAGGGCCGACGCCCAGGCCGCCGCGGCCTGGGCGTCGGCCCTCGCTGCGAGGGGGGGCCCTGCCCGCCAGGATCGAGGTGGCAGCCGCTCGCCCAGGCGGCAAGATGACGCCCCCCCCCATCGGTGCCCTCGGCCAGGTCTAGGAGGCGGCTGATAGGCACGCAGTCGCGCGGGGCGTTTCACGTGCTGAATCGTCTTGCCATGGATGGGGGTGACCGAGCCCTCGACCCCCGCAGCTAATTGGAGCCCGTCGAGGATATCGGGGTCTGGGGGGCCGCCCTCGGGCAACGAGGAGCGCCGTGTTGCCGCTGCCCGCCGCCTCCATGTCGCCGCTCAGGGGGCCCGTCCCACTCCCGCCCCGCCCTCCACCCCCCTGGGGTGTCTGATGGAGGTTCATCCGGAGGAGCGGGCGGATGGGTGAGCGCGAGAGGATGGGCCGCCCCGCGTTCGAATGGAGCGCGGCGTCGCCGCCGCGCCGACGGCGGGCCCTGGCCCGCGCGAGGACTCCCGAGCTCCGCCCGCCGCCGCCGCCATCGCTGTGGCGGAGAGTGGCGGGGCGGCGGAGGTGGGCGGGGGACTGGAGGTCGTCCGCGATCGAGGGCGCGAGGTCGTCTCGGCCCCTCCTTTCACCTTGCGTAGGCACTGTGGGTTTCTCTCGGGAAAGCAGGCCTGGGGTCTCAATGCAGCGCGCACGGGGGCCCTGACTGCTTCGAGTCGGCGTCTCGCCCCAGCGCGCAAGGAGAAAGCTCGCGCTCGGGGGGCAGGCTCTTGAATGGCCTGGATCCTCACACGGGGGCGCCTCTTCTAGTCCGCAGTCGGCGCTGCCAGGGTTGCCCCGGGCCCGCCTGCTTCTCTGTCTTGGTTTGTCACGGTTGTTGCTCGCCGCGCGCCGACGCACCGGCGCGGCGGAGATGGGCCATTGCGTCCATCTCGGGTGGGTGAGCGTCGGGGGTGAATGTCTTTTCTCGTCTCCCAACCCTGGCCGCAATGGGGCGCTGCTGCCCTTTGCTCGGTACTGTGGATTTCCTGCCAAGGTGTTTCTGGTTTCGCCCAGAGGTCGCCAAGCGGCCCATGTGGGCCCCGCTGACGCAGGCAGCGGGCAGTTGCTCTCATGCGGCTGGACGCGCGCCCTCGGCGGCCCGACGCACGCACGCACATGCGCGCACGCTCGCGCGCGCGCGCGCGCACGCACGCACGCGCGCGCACGCGCGCGCACGCGCGCGCGCACACGCACACACACACACACACACACACACACGCACGCACGCACTCACGCACGCACGCACGCACGCACACACACACACACACACACACACACACACACACACACACACACACACACACACACACGCGCACGCACGCACCACGCACGCACGCACGCACGCAGGCACGCACACACACATGCACGCACGCAGACACGCACGCACGCACGCACGAACGCAGCACACACACACACACGCACGCACTCACGCACGCACGCACGCACGCACGCACACACGCAACACACACACAAACACACACGCGCACACGCACCCACCCACCCACCCCCCACCCACACGCACGCACGCACACACACGCACACACACACACACACACACACACGCACGCACGCACGCATGCACGCACGCACACACACACACACACACACACGCGCGCGCACGCGCGCGCACGCACGCACGCACGCACGCACGCGCGCACACACACATACACACACACACACGCACGCACGCACGCACGCGCACGCGTGCACACGCGCACGAGCGCACGCGCACACGCGCACACGCGCACACGCGCACATGCGCACGCGCGCACGCGAGCACGCGCACACACGCACACGCGCACACGCGCACACGCGCACACGCGCACACGCGCACACGCGCACACGCGCATACGCGCACACGTGCACACGCGCACACGCGCACACGCGCACACGCGCACACGCGCACACGCGCACACGCGCACACGCGCACACGCGCACACGCGCACACGTGCACACGCGCGCGCACGCGCGCGCACGCACGCGCGCACACACGCACACGCGCAGACACGCACACGCACACACGCACACACGCACACACGCACACACGCACACACGCACACACGCACACACGCACACTTTCACCCACGCACCCACACACCCACGCACACGCGCACACGCGCACCCACGCACCCACGCACCCACGCACTCACGCACCCACGCACCCACGCACCCACGCACCCACGCACCCACGCACCCACGCACCCACGCGCGCACGCGCGCACGCGCACGCACACGCACGCGCACACGCACACGCACACGTACACACACACACACATACATTCACACACACACACACACACACGCACGCGCTCACACACATGTTTTGGCACACATTTTTTGGCAGTTGAGGCCTCGCGCGCGGCGATTAGGCGGAGTAAGTAGAGGCACTAAACGTGCGGTCGCAAGCAGGCCCGCAATAATCGATGTACCGACCTTATCCATCCAGGCGTCACACACACACGCACACACACATCCACACGTATGGTAGCATGTTCGGTCAGAGGTTTGACCAGTTCCAACCGCCCCGACCGTGCCACCAGCCAGCCGGAGCAGCCCAGCCATCCAACCCGGTAACGGGCCAAATCGCCAGCCGGCCAGCCCGCAGGCCCCCGCCGTTTGCTTTTCCGCCTCAGCCGAGGTCGGGGGGGAGTGGTGCTTGCAGTCATCTACGGCTGCTCTCGGTGGACAGGCCCCCATCCTCGACACCGTCGTCACCGTTCAAGGCCTCCAGCGGGGTTTCGAGCGCCTGGCGTGGCCGCCGGGGGAGGCCAAACCACACAGCAGCCTTAGGGGGACCGCTCCCCGTGGTAGGCTTTATCGAGAGGGTCGAGCCTCCCACGTGCGATGTTGTGGTCGTTTTCTAGACTTCCCCGCCTCCGCTCTCTCGACGGAGGGGCGACGCGCTTCCAATCTTATCCTCCACTCTTCATCCCCATATCCACTCAGTGTATACAGTATCCAGATGAGCAATAAGTCATGAGACTGGCGCGCTAGGAGACATCCAAGGTTTCTGGCTGTTCCGCGCGGATTGAAGGAAAGGCAGCTGGATATCCGGTAGGTCATGGTACGTATCCAAAGTCAACCGCACCATGCAATCATGACATCCTTCTCGTCCTACATCAGCCGCTTCAGGAGATCGTTTTCCTGGCGAAGAAGGGCACGCCGTATCACGATGGCCTGGTGGAGAGCATGTTGACATCACCCTCGGCCCTGGGGGGTTGATGGTCTTCGAAGGGTCATCGCTGCCATTGTGTTTGTGGCCGCTGCTGCTTCGGGGGGCGCCCTGCCGCTGCGGGCGCAGCGCCCGAGTCTAAACAAGAGGAGGAGATGGCGCGCAGTGGGCAGGAGCAGATCGGCAGCAGTGAGGGGACTCGTGGGGGTGCACAGGCAGATGCCGCTGAATCTGGCAGCGGGAAGTTCATGCTCGTTGGTTTTCGGAGGAGCGCCCCCAGACTCAACAGCTTGGTTTGCTTCAGTCGGTGGCTGGTCGTTTCCCCTGCCTCGTTCATACTCCAGCGGCTGAGCCCCCATGCGGGAGGGTGCGGCCTGATTCCATCCGAATCCTTCAGATTCAAGGTGAAGCGGCGTGGGAGGACGGGCAGTGGCGCCTGGCCGCCCCTCGGAGTTCTGAGATATCCCCCGCATGGGGAGTGCTGTCCCCAACTAGCCGGAGAGTAGTAGACGAGGCAAGCATATAGATCCGGCAGATTTGTTGAACACACATTTTGGTTTGAAGCTTTCCCAACCATCCTGTGGTGTTGGATCCTCGTTTGCGTCCCTCTCCTCTCCTCTCCTCTCCTCTCCTCTCCTCTCCTCTCCTCTCCTCTCCTCTCCTCTCCTCTCATCTCCTCCTCCTCCCCCTCCTCCCTCCTCCCATCCTTGCCTCTGCCATCCGCATGTCTCTGTTTCGGCACACCCCTCACTCGTTTCGTGGTCCCATAGGGAGCTCCACCAAAGGCCCAAATGCCAGCTCACCTTACCCGTTTTGGTACACCCCTCACACGTTTCGTGGCCCCATAAAGGGTTCTCCGTCGACGGCCCCAGTGGCTGCGTTCGCATGCGCCCACCGCATTCATTTCGGCACACCCCTTACACATTTCGTAGCCCCACAGGGAGCTCCACCCACGGCCCCAGTGGCTGCGTTCGCGTTTGCCCGCTGCACATTTTGTGGCACACTTCTTACACTTTTCGTGACCCTATAGGAAGTTGCACCGACGGCCCCAGTGGCTGTGTTCGCATGCGCCCACCGCTTCATTTTGGCACACCCTGGCGTACTTCAGTTTGGGTTGGGCTGGCCTCTCGTCGAAGGGCCTCTCACACACGCCAACGGGGTCGGCGGACTTGAAGAACGGAGGAGGATAGTCGAGGATCAAGACGCCCTGTCTCATTGGCTGCAGAGCTCCGGTAGAGGGCACCAATTCGTGGACACTACCCCGCTCCCCCGAACTCAAAGTTGACACGCGCGGGGCAGACTGCGGCTGAAGCACAGCTCATTCAACTCACCGCCAACGTTGATATTTGGGGGGGGGCATGGACACATGAATGTGGCATGAGTGTTCGCTAATTTCTTCCTTGGGGGGGCATTGCCACATGAATGCGGCATGAGTGTTCGCTACGTTCTTCCGAGGCCTGTCGCTCCGCAGGGGGTCAGATTGCCGGGGGGAAGAGGGGGTTGCTGGGGAGAGGAGGCCTCGCGGGGGGGGGCCCAGGCTCGGCACATCCTCTACGAGAGGATGGTCCCTCGCTACAGAGACCGGGACATCGGGAAGGGGTCCTCCTTTTCCTCCTCCTCCTCCTCCTCCTCCTCCTCCTCCTCCTCCTCCTGGGGGGAGGTCTCGGGCGGGTGGTTTTGGAGGGGAGTGAAGAAGAGGCCCTTACAAATCGAAGAAGATAAAATCGCCATGAACATAAACTTTTAGCGCGCCGCGCGGATTTCTATCCGCGCTGTGCCTCCCTGGCGGCGCCTCCGGCTCCGCCCCTGGCGCGCTCCGCGCGCCAGTGAGGGTGGTCCAGTGCGGATCCAAGAAATCCGCGCGGAGCGCCCAAAGTGTATGTTTATGGGTTTTTGTTCTTCTTCTATTGGGCGGGTGAAGAAGAGGCTCCTGAAAGGGCCCTTTGGGACTCTTTTGGGGTCCCTGCTGGCTCCGAAAAGGGGCCTTGAGGGAAACCCTTTTGGGGCCCTCGTCTTCGCCCCCCCATTGAGGCCACCCCCCATTACCACACGCCCGAAAGGCAGGTCCAGGGGGATGGAGGGGGCGGAGAGGGAGGATGGCGGCGAGGCGGGCTTGCTTGCCGGACGGGTGCAGCAGGCTCTGCATGGCGGGTCCTGGCTGAAGGGGGGCACGTGCGGGCGGAGCTATAGCCATGCCCAGGTGCGTGTGAGGAGGGATGGGAGATGGGTGGACGAAGGCGGAAGGAGGAGCGACTGGAGGAGGAGGAGGGAGGAAGCGGGAGGAGGAGGAAGAGGGGATCAGTAGAAGTGCATTTGTGACTCTCGCTTGTCAGGAGAGGGGGGAGAAAGAAAAGAACTACGAGGAGGATGGAGAGATCAGGAAGGAGGAGGAAGGAGGGATGATCGAACCACTCCTCGGAAAGAGGCGCTCGGAGGCCTCATGCCGGGGGCTGCGTGCGCGGCCCTGCGATGACGGGGCTGGTCCGCCCGGCCGCACCCGAGGTGGGGGGGGAGAGGAGCGGTGGTGAGACCACAGCCTTCGGTCCCCCCCCTCCAGCTCCGCCCCGACCCTGGCTTGCAGCAGGCCCGGCCATGCCCCTTCGCCAGGGCCGGAGCGTGCCGAGCAGAGGGTGCCGGGAGGGCACTTCTGCGATCGGAGTGCCTGCACGACCTACCGTCCAAGGCCCCGTCAGCACACAACGCACGCGCGGGACTCGGCGTTGGAGGGCCATTCCCGGAGGCAAGAGCCCGACGGCGACCCCAACCCAGCCCAACCCAGCCCAACCCAGCCCAACCAACCAAAGCAGAGCCTTGCTCCTCGTCCTCCTCCTCCTCCTCCTTTTCCCCCTCCTCCCTCCTCCCTCCTCCCTCCTTCCTCCTCAGCATTCATTCATTCCCGTAACCATGCGCGCCAGAGGCATTCACGTGGACACAGCACTGAACTACATTGCATGAGGCGTGCGCACACCCATACAAAGAGCTACGAAACTAAGAGTCTCGCACAAGCCCTGCAGGGGGGCAGCCGCCGCGGCCATCCCGATCATGCCATCCAAGTCGAGGACGAGGCACGAGACGATGAGGACAACAGACAGCAAGAAAGACACCGAGAGGTAGAGCAGAAGAGTGCGGATGTCGAACACCGCCAGACACGTACATTCCAAGCCACACGATAATGACACTCCACGGCACTACCACCTCGGGCCAAACCAGTCACAACGAGACCACACACCAGTTGCCGAGAGGAAAAGCCAGGCATAGGCCGACAACACATGTTGCTGATGCGGGCTTTTGACATCACGTGAGGGTGGCCCAACACGGTCAGCCCAAGCGTCACGCCTGCGCAAGACAGTCTTCTCCAGAGGAAGAGGAAGAGGAGAAAGAAGAGGAGGAGGAGGAGGAGGAGGAGGAGGAGGAGGAGGAGGAGGAGGAGGAGAGGAGGAGGCGTTCGAGGTACGTGCGGCCTGCCGCATTGGCTGCGCGGTGCGGCTGGCGTCGTGCGTGGCCGCCGGTAGGCGCGGCGGCCAGCGGCTTCGGCGAAGCTGGCCCTCTCCTTCCTGCAGAGGCGGCCGCCGTCCGTGGTTCGGCCGCGGCGCCTGGCGCTGCTGGGCCCACGCACGCGGGACGCGCGGCAGGTGCGGAGCCCTGGAGCAGCGCTGTGCACACCACCTTCGGCCTGCTTTCTCTTGCTGATGGGTCCATTGTCCACGACCACTACCATAGGTAGGAGAGGGAGGAGGAGGAGGAGGAGGAGGAGGAGGAGGAGGAGGAGGGAGGAGGAGGAGGAGGAGGAGAAGGAGGAGGAGGAGGAGGAGGAGGAGGAGGGAGGAGGAGAAGGAGGAGGAGGAGGAGGAGGAGGAGGAGGAGGAGGAGGAGGAGGAGGAGGAGGAGGAGGAGGAGGAGGAGGAGGAGGAGGAGGAGGAGGAGGAGGAGGTGCTGGCGCGGGGGCGCTGACGGGCGCGGAGCAGCGCAGGGCGTGTGGGGCCCAGGCGGGTCCCGCTGGCGCTCGGCGGGTGCGGAGCAGCGCCCGCGCGCACCGGCCAGCTGGCGCGGGCCCTGCCGGCCAGCGGGGCGCCTCAACGCCCAGCTGTCGCGCGACAGGTGCTCACCACCCACCAAACCACCCCAACCCAACCTGAAGCCCTCAATTTGCCCTCCATTTCCAGTGTGTGGTGGTCGGGGAAAATTGAAAAAACACATGGGATCCGTACCCCCCCAACCCGAAATTGGAGTCAAATTCGGGTCTTCGGGTTGGGTTGGGGTGGTCAGGTAGGTAGTCAGCGCGGCAGGTGCGGAGCCCGGAAGCCGCGGTGCTCACACTTCCTTAGGGGCGCCTCTCGCGCCGCCCTTGGGCAGCGCTGGGCACACCCGGGAGAGGGAGGGGGTCGCTGTTCGCGGGGGGGCCTTCGCCGGGCACGGAAGGACGCCCGGCAGCGTGCCTCTCCTCAAGAGGGCGTCCAAGAGGGCGTCCAAGAGGGGGTTGTGAGGGGTTGAACACGTCTTGGAGGCAAGTCGCCGCCGACCAGAAAGTGTGTCGGCACCATGGCCTGGTCACGAAAGCCGCCATGGCCACTTCTCTCTCGAGGAGGTGATCGACTACAGAATTGATTTAGCACCCCGAATTTGATTTCCCCGTCGAATTTGCGAGCCATGCGCAGAATGTTCCGTAGATCTTCGGAGCATTCTACGTATGATGCGTAGATTCGCCAAGCACAAAATTGTAGGGCAAACCGATTATGTCGTCGATCCCCTACTCGACTCTCAACATGCACCCTGCCCCCGCCTCCTCTGCATAATTACGTGCCCTGGCCTCCCTCCTCGGCGCACCCGGAACTTTCTCCCGCCGGCACGGCCAGCAGAAGGGGGCCTAGTGCGCGGGCGAGGGCGCGAACGCTAGGCAGAATCGAAACAACATCGGGCCGATATCAATCGGAAATCTCTGAGAATCGCTGGGTTTGGAGGATGCATCTGGCGCCGCGGCCGTTTTAGAGCGTTCCAGAACGCTCTGAGAGCATTCTGGAACGTTCTGGAACGGCTTTATCTCGATTCTTGGCCCGTCCGACAGTCGTGGTCGTCGTCGTCGTCGCCGGCAGGAGAAGCGGGAGGAGGAGAAAGAGCATGTGAGGCACGTGAGCAGGAGGGAGCAGGAGGAAGCGCGCGGTGGCGGCGGACGGGGACGGAAACGGAGCTCTGACGCGTGGAAGGCCTTCCACTTCACGCGCATCGTGAACACGCATGAGACTTAGCTGCTCTCTTGACCAGCTCGCCGCGCTCTTTACTTCTCCCTCTCTCCATCGCTCTCGGTCCCCCCTCCTCTCGCTCCTCCTCCCGCTCATACTTCTGCTCTTCAAGGGCATCAGGGCTTGACGATAACACACTTCCACATGGAAACAGCACATGATCCTGGTCATCTCGCCCACTCTGCTCATGATCCTCCTCCAGCTCCCACTCCAGCTCCTGATGCAGCCAGCTCTCCTTGCTCCTGCTCCTGCTCCTGCTTCTGCTCCTCGAGCGGTTGCCGCCCAGGCCGGTCTGGATCCCCCCCAGGGCTAGCGGGGCTTTCCGCCCACTGAGCTCCCCTGGCATCGCGTCGGGGTGCGCGTAGGTGTCGGGATTTGCCCGCGCCGTCTCGATTGCCCTCTATTCCTGCCGAGCACCTCCTTTGGGTCGAGGGCCGAGGGCCGAGGGCGGAATCGATGCCAGCGCCAGCGGCATGTCGCTTTTTGTTTGAACATCTCGTGCGCCAACCCAAGAACAACCTATTGTGTTTTCACTGAAACAACTTGTGACCAACCGGAAAACAACTTTCCCTCGAGGCCATCTCCTCCACTGCTGTAGGGGACGGGGAGCCGCGCAAATCTAGAATGCCCTTGGCGAAGAGGCCGCCTGTGCGGTGGGTTGCGGCGCGTCGACGGGGCGGCGGCCCCGCGCGCTGTCGCGCACGGTGGAAGAGTTCTTCCGGGTCGGCCGTTGTCGAGCGATCCGCGCAGAGCTGCGATCCGCCAGGGTGGAACGACCTGCGCGGTGTCAAAACTCAGGCAATCGCAAACATGGATCAGGGGGCGTGGATCAGCGACGGGTCCCGTTTCCATGGGAAATCGTGGATTTCCGCCGCCGAACGAGGCGGCACATTTTGGGGAGGGCACCTCCCCCGATCCATGGATTTGGCGACCGCGCGCCAAATCCATGGATGGCTAATCCATGCTTGCGCGCCCCCGAAAAACCAACGCCGACGCAACGACGCCAACCTGCCATAGTACGTTATCTGGCCCCTGGTCAGGCTGCTCGGGCGCGGTTCATGTCGTCCCCCGTGGAGCTGTGGATGGCTGTCTGCTCCTTGTCAGCAGGGTCGTGTCCTCTAGCATGTCTGCATGCCCCCTTCTCTTATTCTTGTCCTCGATGTTTGGGCCCCCACTGGATTGGCCAAGCCGATCTCGGCCCTGGTCGAATTCAGCTTGACCGAGCTCAGCCTGGCCCAGGTCAGCCGGCCGAGGTCAGCTTTGCCCAGATCAGCTGGCCGAGTTCAGCCTGGCCCAGATCAGCCGGCCGAGTTCAGCTTGGCCGAGTTCAGGCTGGCCGAGTGTAGCTGCTGCCCGCGTGGGCCCCCAGAGGCTTCAAGAGGCCCAAGCAGGGGCCCCTATTACCGCAGGAGCATCGATCATGGAAGCCCGATCCCCTCAGGCGCGAAGCCGGCCCCTTGCGCGCGCGCACGCGTCGCAGGGAGGAGAAGCGACGCCACCATCACCGGCGGGCCGCTCCAACAAGGAGGCTTTCGGTACCCTCCCGAGCTGGAGAATGGAGATGTGAGGAGGACGAGGAGGAGGAGGAGGAGGAGGAGGAGGAGGAGGAGGAGGAGGAGGAGGAGGAGGAGGGCTATCCCCAGCTTCTCGCGGTGATGATGGTGGCGCTGGTGTTCTTGTCTTCGTGTCTCCGCGGCGCGACGTGTTCGCCACAGAGTGCCCCTGAGAGCTGCGCATGGCTAGCGCTCCTGATTTGCGCGTACTGCAGCCAGGCTGAAGTCGGGCATGTCCCTCTACAGGAGAAACATAGTCAAACATAGACTCGGGACGATGTTCTGACTATGTTTGGCTATGTTTGTGTATGGTTGACTATTCTTCAGTTTTCTTCTACAACCCGCCTGTAGGAGGACATGCCCGACCTGAAGCTACGCACTGCTAGCACTGCGGATTCGCACGCGCTGCAGCCAGGCTGAGGCCAGCAGGCACATGCGAGCGTCCACGTCTCTGCATGTCTGCCATCCCCTGGTATGCACAGGGGGGTGTTCGCTGGCGAATCATGGGAGCCTGTTATACTCTCTTAATTCCGTCTCTAGCGTTGACTGGCGTCGATTAGCGTCTGGGAGTCGATGGGATAGCGACGATTTAACGTCGGTCAGCGTCGATTAGCGCCGATCTCACGTCGATTAGCGTCGATCTGGCGTCGATTAAAGTCGATTCGCAAGAGCCGACAGGATGGTATGGGAGGCTCTCGTGCGTTGCCACCGAGGGGGTGCTCTGGCGCTTGCTTGGCACGAGAGCGCCGCAGGCAGGGGTTGGCCGGGCCCCTGCTTCCCGACAACTCGCTGTCCGGATGGGGTAGGATTGCCCCCTCCCCTCGCAGAGGGTTGTTTGTCTCCTTCTCCTCCTCCTCCTCCTCCTAATCCTCCTCCTCCTTCTCCTCCTAGTCCTCCTCCTCCTCCTCCTAATCCTCCTCCTCATCCTCCTCCTCCTAATCCTCCTCCTCCTCCTAGTCCTCCTCCTCCTCCTCCGCCTCCTCCTCCTCCTCGCCATCAAGATCGGCTCCTGGACCTCTCCTGAGCCGCGTCGTGGCCAAGATGTTCCGGGGGGCCGGGCGCGGCGAGGACGCCCCTAAGAGGGGGGGCCCTTCCAGAGGGGGGCCCCGCGCCGCCAGAAGGCCTCGAGCGCCTGCAAGGAACAAGCGGAAATGCCATCCCCTCCCCGAGACGGGGTCCATTCGATCCCTGTACAGCGGGGGCTTCGTGGGCCCTGGAAACGACAGGGCTGTTTTTTTTACCGTTTCCGTTTTGCCGGTTTTCTGCTGGTTCCGACGCCGTTTTTTTACCGGTTCCGTCGACGTTGTTTTATGGGTTCCCGCTCCGGTTCCATTCCTGGAGCCGTTTTTGTTGCCGTTTCCGGTCGCCGTTTTTTTGTCGTTTCCATTTTCAAGGGACACTTTTTCGGAAACGGTGAAAAAACGGCCCTGCCGTTCCCGGGGCCCACCAAGAGTGGGGGCCCATGCCAAGAAACACCCTGCTTGCCTCCAGGTTGCCCTGGGTCTTTTGGGATTCGATAGTTTTGCTATGGAGGGCGTGGCGTGCCCACACCAGGAGTCGGTGGACGTCCTGGGGTCTAAGGGTTGGGTTTCTTGCGGAAGGTTTCTTATGGATTGGCCTCCACTGTATATACGACTCGATGTCGATTCTGGCCAGCCCGGTCGAATTCGATTCCGAGCTTCCGACTATCCGATGAGGCCCGATACTTGCACGGCATTGGCGTCCCTCCTCGAGCGGTTCGATGCGATTCGATTTCGGCTCCGTGCCGATCCAGACCGATCCCACGCGCCTTCCGATTCGATCCGATTTCATAATGCTTGCCAATCGGGCCACCAAATAAAGTTATGATAATATTTTGTGGTCTGCACGACATGTTCTTAGAACATGTTTGGCTGGGACTGGTTTGTTTGAACACATCAGGATTATGTTCTAAGAACCTTGTTCTGTTCTTAGAACACTCTTGGGTTCTAAGAACATGTCGTGGTAGGCCTACAGGAACGGTCGGTCCATGCTCAAATGATGTCTGATCCTGCCGTGAGGCGGAAGTACAGCGAGCGCGTCGCGGCGCGGATTGGCCTGACCTCGGGGGGCAGAGAACGACACAAACAGGAATTTTCCCAGGTCCACGCAGATTTCTCGGATCGGCGCTGGGCGCCCCCCCAGAGGTTTCCAGCGCCGATCCGAGAAGCTCGTCGGCCTCCAAGAGTTAAGTTTTCGTGTAGATTCACAAAATTATCGTTCCCGTTCCGTTTCGTTTTTCGTTTTGTTGTCTCGTTGAATGGCGGCATCGTTTCGTTTTCGTTTGCGGTTGCACCCGCATCGTTTTAAACGTTTCGTTGTAAACGTTTGGATTCTTTTTCGTTTTGGTTCTAAACGCCAGCGCGTTTTAAACATCGTTGTGGTCGGTCCTCGCATTCCTGGTTTCTCTCTGATCCACGCCGCCGCTCTGGCCCCTCGTGGGCTCGGGGCGCGAGCAGGGGCACGGATACACGCCGGTCGGTGACAGCAGGTATTTTTGGGGCTCCCAGATCCCAAGCTGTTGGAGCCGCCGTCCTGCTTCCAAGAGTCGAGTGGTTCTCCCTCGTCCCTCCTCTCCAGGGGCGGGCGGAAGCCCAATCTGCTGCTTCCAGCGCCTTCCTGCTTCATGCTTCTATCCACTGCCCCAGGCCCCCGACGGCATGTTTTTGCCAGGGCGTGGACCTCCAGCGGTCTCGACCCATTCCTGGGGGCCTGTTTTTCAACTTGAGTCGTTCTTTGATGGCCCCGAGGCTCGATGAGGGCCCCCAGGGGCTGAAGATAGAGATAAACTTCCCGCCGTGATTTTGCTCATCATCCGCGGGGGTCTGGAAATTCAGCCCATGAGGTGTCGAAGAAGGAAGAACGGTAAAACATAAAAATTTGGCGCTCCGCGCGGATTTTTTGGATCCGAGCTGCACCCCCCCCGTGGCGGCGCTTCTGGCGCCGCCTCTGGCGCGCTCCGCGCGCCAGGGAGGTCCAGCGCAGATCCAAGAAATCCGCGCGGACTTCCAAAAGTTAATGTTTGTGCTAGTACTTTCTCTCTCCAAGGTGGCAGTACCGCATACGCGACGCGGCGCAGATTGGCCTGATCGAGTACGTGGACCGGCCCGGCGAGCTCCGGCCCGCGGCGCCGGTGGGCGCCGCGCGGGTGCAGCACGTGGCGTACGAGGCCAGCGGCCCGCCCTCGGTCGGCCCGGCTGCCCGAGAGGCCGAGGCTCGAAGTCTTGACGTGCGAGGAGACGTGAGAGTAGGTCGGGCATGTCCCTCTGCAGGAGGAGTAGGCAAAGATGGTAAGAATATTGCAGGCCTAGAGGTTGAAATCAACACCAATTTCGGCGGTGTGCCTCCACCGAGGGAATAAGACCCTGATCTAGGTGATGGTGGTAATATTCTGGCTTCCATGGTGGCCGAAATATTTCCACCAACATCGAAATCTAAGGTCATCTTCCCTCTGTGGAGGCAACCCCCTTTGTTGGTGTTGGTGCCCATTCCCAGGCCTCCAAAAATAGTTTGGGGACGATTTCTCAATTATTGTTTGACTGCTTTGGAATACTCTGGACTATTTAATTGTTTCCTCCAAAACCCGCCTGTAGGAGGACATGCCCGACCTAAGCGTAAAAGGCAGACCCCCTCGGGTAGCGAGCAAAAACATAACGGGAGGTTTTTGCCGTTTTCTCTGCCTCCGGAGGCCCTTACCAGCTGTCGGGACCGTCAACAAAACGGCTCAGGCTGAAAAGCCGGTCTAGGGGAATGGGTCGAGATTTCTGTTGGTCGGCGTTATGAAAAAGTCATGACGTCGGGGGCCTGGGGACGCGAATACGCTGGAATTCGAGTTCGCCGATTTTTGTCCCAATCATCTTGTGGAGCTGGGTCATCGTGTTGAAGAGGCAGCGCCACGCGCCTCTCCTTCCCTTCCTCCTCCCCCTCCTCCTTCCCCCCGCACGCCTCCCACGTTTCGTGGCCCCATAGTGAGCTCCACCGACGGCCCCCGAGGCTGCGTTGGCATGCGCCCAGCGCGCTTATTTTTGGCACACGCCTCACATGTTTCGTGGCCCTATAGGGAGCTCCTCCGAATGCGCATACAACGACAGTGTTCACAACTGCATTTGGTTGGGTCCATCGCCAGGCTAATGTTGACGAGCACGTCCTGGGTTTTGACGGTCCAATTTTCGTGGGATGTCTGCAGCGGGAGCTCGTGTCAGATTTCAGATCGGGCCTTTTGTCATGTTCACGAGGGCACCGCCAGGCCAACCCGAGGCCCCAGAACCCGAGCTTTACATCTCCCCAAGAAATCAGAGGAGGATCGGGCGGGACGCATAGGGGGGGATATTCAGCCACGCGCAGAGGGAGGTAGGGGGAGGGTGGGAAGGCTTCTTTGAAGCACCTTGCTTATTAGACGGCGCGGGCCTTATCTGTAGATGTAAGGCCCGCGTCTTCTAAGAAGCAGCCTCCTTCTAACAAGCCTTCCCCCCTCCCCCTACCCCCCTCTGCGCGCAGCCAAGATATGTAGGGAAAGGGGGGTGGCGAAGTCTGCTGGCACGCAGCTGGTTTCCGCCCCGCCGCCAGACCCATATTTCTCGATAGTTACCTGGGGACCTGCCGGCTGCAGGGGGCGCCAGGAAAACCAGCTACGTACAGTGGAAACCCATGCCAAGAAACACCCTGCTTGCCTCCAGGGTGCCCGGGGTTTCTTGGGTTGCGATGGTTTCGCTATGGAAGGCGTGACGTTCCCACACTTAAAATCAATGGACGTCCTAGGGTCTCGGGGTTGGGTTTTTCGTGGAAGATTTTGTTTGGTCTTACGCCACACCGCCGACCCCTTGGGGAACTGGCGGCTGTTGTGTGGTGCTCCCGAGTGCCTTTTGAGTGCCCTTTGGGGGGCTTCTTCGAGCTCTTTTGGGCCTCTTTGGGGCTCTTGCGTTCACCAGGATCCCGGGAGACCCCCCCCCTCCAAGTCGACCGGACCGGGCTCCCAGGAGAAGGATTCGGGGAGGGGGAAACATTTCACACGCCAATGAACCCCAAGGGGTCGGCGGATTCTCTACCCTGCCGTTTGCTCTCCGACCCTGTTCCCCCGAGAGGAAAAGTACCCATACCGCTGTCCTTGCCTCGTTTTTGCCCTTTTGGGGTTTGGGAGGCCCTCGTCGCTACCACTTGATTCGCCTCGACGTTCTGGTCAGAACGCACCCCGGGAGAGGTCCACGGTGTAGCGGTATTGGTACCTTTTGGTTTCCCCACGAACGACCGATCTCGGCGGCGAGCCCAGTGAAAAGTTTCGGACTTTCGGGTTCGAGGGTTTCCTGGGTTTTCGTTGGTTCCCGGCGGGGTTCTGGGTGCGTTCCAGCAGTTGTGCCTCGCCGAGGCTGTTCAGGGGGGTGCCCGGATCGCCCGAGCGGCCGCTGGAGAACCGAGTTTTGACGGAGCGAGGAGGCAGTCGGGAGTTGCGAAATGTGGGGGTGCGAGACATGGGGGGGTGAAGAAAGGTGCACCTTGTGTACCCCGAAGGGGGGCTGAAGGGGCCCCCAGGGGCCCAAAAGGGGGCACACAGGGTGCACACTTCTCCCCCGTCCCAAGTGATCGCCCCTCCACTAAGTAACGCCAGACGCATGCCTTCTCCGACGGCGCAGGGGCTTCTCAGAGACCCTCGCCCCTTCTGAGAAAACTTCCAAGCCTTCCTTCTCTGAAGACGCAGAGGGCTTCTCAGAAGGCGCGAGGGCTTCTGAGAGCCTCACTGCCTTTCGAGAAGGCCTGCCCCGTCTCACATCCCCCGGAGCTCGCCGCCAAAGGGCCGAGACAAGACTGTCGAACGACCAATCACTGACATGCTGACAGGTTCTCACTCAGATGGCCAAGCATGTTGACGGATCTAAGCCCTATTAAAAAAAACACAGACCACACACCGGGATGGTCCATTGAGGCAGTCGCCATAGAGGACGACTCTGCACATAATCGCGTCTGCAGTCGCGCGCCAAACACATGCCAGCCATGACAGAATGCATGATTCCGAGGTGGTTCCTGAGATCTTGGCGTCTCGACGCAGAAACATCGCATGAAGGTAAATGTCCAGAGCGTCGTGATGATGTCTGCGGGCTGGGCTGTTCACGGAGGGTGGGCACGGAGGAGGAGAGGAGGAGGAGGAGGAGGAGGAGGAGGAGGAGGAGGAGGAGGAGGAGGAGGAGGAGGAGGAGGATGAAGCGGAGGAGCGAGCAGGACGAGTAGGAGGACGACGACGGCCGACGACGGTAACGTCGAGGACGAGGATGGTGACGCGGACGAGGACGGAGAAACGATAACGACGAGGACGAGGACGGCGACGACCGTGGCCAGTTCCTCGCCACCCGCCGCGGGCGCCGGCGGCACCTGACCGAGCTCCAGGAGCACCTGGCAAAGGGCAGGGGGGCCGTGGCGCTGGACAGCGGCGTGCTGGAGAGGCGCCCCATGGGGGCGCAGGGCAGCGGCGAAGGCGAGGTCGAGCAGAAAAGGCGGGAGGAGGGAGGGGGAAGGGAGCGACGAGGGAGGGAAGGGAGGAGGGAGGAGGGAGGAGGGCGGGACGAGGGAGGGGACGAAGGGACGAAGAAAGGGACGAAGGGAGGAGGGAGGGACGAAGGGAGGACGGAAGGGACGGAGGGAGAGGAGGGAAGGGAGGAACGAGGGAAGGGACGAATGGAGGAGGGAGGAGGGAGGGGGATTGAAGGGAGGAGGGAGGGGGAAGGGAGGGATTTTGGATTGCGCCGCTGATGAAGCACAGAGCCTGTCAGCTAAGTGTGGCACGCAGCTGGCAGAGACAATTTAGCACAGTTGAATGGCTGCCCTAAAAAGTCGAAGACGACATCTCCGCACGGGTACCGAAGGTTACAGTACAGTCACATCTCCGCACGGGCCCTTGGACGAAGCAGGGCGCCTCAGGACCACGCAAGAGCGCGTCCGTGCCCTCCCAGAGCCGCGAGCCAACATCTGCAGCGTTCAGCTCGGACGGGTGCCACCGGTGGTGCAGCCGCACATCGGCGGCGAGGGTGAGCGCGAGCAGGCGCCGGCAGATCCTCAACAATCCTGGAGCAGAAGACCTGCCTTGTTCTGAAGCCAAAATGAGCGATAGATTATTCCCAAGGTGTAGAAGCGAACAGCCGAAAGACGCCAGAGAACGAAGTTGGCGCCTCAGGGCCGCCACCGAGTACCATGATGTTTTCGGCCAGGTGCCGAGCCGCGAAATCGAGCTGCCAATCCTTGGGGTCCAGGAGCTCCTAAGGGATCTCGACGAAGATGGGGTTCTCGTCCCAGGCCTCTGGAGTCTCGTAGGGGTCCACGGGCTTGACAGTGTTGATGTTGTTGAAAACGTCCGCACCTAGCAGCGAGTGGTCCCGAGCCCTGAGCGGGGGTCCCAGCCATGTACCTAGACTTCCCCTTGAGGCCCCCGAGCGGTTTGACGACGTCTGAGTCGAGCACACGCGAGCATACAGCGTACCCAGAGAGGCAGGCGTCGGACGATGTGACCTTCGCGCACCACGGTCTATCGAGCCGCGCCTAGCAAAACGGCAGCAGTGCGAGGAACCACCTGTCGCGGCAGCGGCTGACGGCGCGGCAGCGGCAGCGGCTGACGGCGCGAGCCGAGATGAAGGAGTAGACGCGATGGAAGATAGCAAACATTTCACGACGCAACATGCACAGGTGAATACAATGACCCACGAACCGCCCCAGAGTTTCGCCGCTGATGCGGGGCCGCCGAAGAAGCCAGAGCCCTGCAGCCCTGCGCAACTCCAGCTTGCGATCCGTTAATTAGGGCGACGAGCCTCTCTCGGCCCATGACCTTGTAGCCCAGCTTGACGGCGTCCACGGAGGGCGCGTATATCTCGTGCTCGACGAAGCCGACGCGCTCGAAGTGGTCGACCAGCTCGTCCCGCAGGGCCCCGGCACGCTGCGCGTCGGAGCCCGCGACGTTCAGGTTGTCGGCGTAGGCGAGCAGCGCCGGCTTGCAATCCGACATGTCGGGGGCCGGCCGCTCGTCACTCAAGATGCGATCCACCGTCAGGGCCCCGCTGCACACTGACTGGTGGCAGACCACGCGCTGGGCAACCCGCGTCGCCCAGCTCCAGCGCATCGGGACCACCGCGAGGCAAGGCGACGCCATGCTGCCCTCGGGCAGCGCCGCGATGTCGGGCGGGAGCCTGCACATGGTCCTCAGCAAGGTCACGTCGACCGCGGGGAGGGCGAAGTACTCGGACAGCTCCTCCGCGATCGGCGAGGTGGTAGAAGTAGTTCGCCAGGTCCGCCTGCGCGGTGTACATCTCGTCATCCTGCCCGAACTCGAGGTCCGTCAGCTTGCTCCCCGACGACATGTTCATCTTCGGGCACCTCGCGAACCTCGTATTGACTGCCCTAGCATCCCACACGATCCGCAACTGCCCAGACTTCTTTCGAACGAGCAACGGTGTGATGAGGTCATGAGCGTTGGTCGAGTACCTCAGCATGTTTGCTCGGTCCAGCCGTGCCACGAAGCCCGCATACTTGCCAGGGTCTGAGGCGAGCGTCGTGTCCATGCATGGGACGACCGGGGCCTCGCTCTCGCACCGTTGCCCAAACTCATCCTCAGACAACATCATACGCGATCGAACTTCCTGGAGTCAGCGGGCCCCCTCGGGGTCGAGAACATCAAGTGCGGCGGGAGGTTGCTCCAACTCCTCCGGCACCGCGATCAGTGTGGCATCATACTTGGCCACAGTGCTTGGAACCTCTCCACTGTCGTAGACGAGGTCGGAGCCGGGAAGCTCGCGGGCGGCTTCTCGCTGCTGAGAAAAAGAAGGCATTCCTGCGGGAAGAACGTGCCTCATAACTGTGCGCTGAGCCGCTGCCTGGGCCGCGCTCCTGTCCGCCCTTGGCGGTGCCGGCGACGAGGAGGAGGGCGCGCCGTAGAGCTCGTTCAAGGCCTGGATACTCTCGTTGGCCCTGAGCCCCTTGGCATGCCGACGTCGAAGCCGCTGGCGAACTGAGTGAGAAAGCTGTGAGGCGTCCGGCGTCGCCTCGTCAAAAGTCGGGAGCGGGAAGAGTTCCCTGGGCACGCGCCGAGCCTCGCCAGCCTGAGACGGGACTGGGTAGCAAGGCTGGCGAGCGAGGGGGGCAGGCGGGCCCAATCGCCGCCCCCGCGGCCCACGCCGTGTCATTCCTCGCCTGCGGCTTTGGCGGCCGCCGCGCCCTCGGTCTTGCCACGACCCTTCGCCCTCGCGTTGGTCTCCTCCCGCGCCTTGCCAGCCTCCTTCAAGATCGCCGACTCCTTCCTGAGCTGGTCGGCGACGTGGGCCGCGAGGCTGGGCGCGATGGCCGCGCCACCCGCGCGGCGACTCCAGCCCATGAACTGGTCGGCAGCACTGTAGTCGGGCTGGCTCGGCGAGACCCGTTGCGCCTCCTTGATCAGCGCGAGGCGTCGCGAGGCCAGCTCCATGCATAGGAGCGACGGGCAGTTCAATTGATCCTGTATCGCCGCCGCGTCGAGGATGCGGCTGAGAACCTCATGCTCGTAGATGCTCCTATCCCCCGAGGGCACCTTGGAGAGGCGCACCCAGTTCTCGTGCGAGTGGAAGGCGCTGTTGCCGTCGTCCCGCACCAAGTTCTCGCGCCCCTGAAGATCCCATGGCATGGGCTCCTCCGACGAGTGGGCCAGCGCATCGTCCCATGTGCGACGGCGCTGGCCCTGGACATCATACCTCACCGCCAACGTGCGAGCATCGCCCTTCGCCAGCACCAGCGCGTCCGCAGCAGAGAGCTGCGCCACCGCCACGGAGACGCCAGCCACGTGGATGAGGGCGCGGTCGCCGAGCACGAAGGCGCCGGGCGGCAGCTGGTGGCAAACGACGTCACCCATCGAGTAGCCTCCACGATCCTCCACGGCGTACCAGCTGAGCCCGGGCGGAGGCACCAGCATGCCCCCAGGCGCGGCCGCAGCGCCATCGCCGCCACGGCCCAACCCGGGCGGGATGCCGAGCGCGGCGCCGGCGGCTGCGCCCGCGGCGGCGCCACCAGGGGGCAAGAGGCCTCCGCCTCCTGGGGCAGGCGGCGCGCCCCCCGCGGGCACCGAGGCCGCGGCCGCCCCGGCAGGCGGCGCTGCACCTGGTGCTGCGCCGGCCGCCGCGGCCCCGGCCGCGCCTGCATCCCCGCGGGGCGGGTTGAAGTGGCACACAAGCGGCAGCGGCACGCACAGCACACCCAGGTGGTGAGCCCCTAGCATCGCGAAGGCGCCGATCACCGCCTGGGCCGGCGCCGCACGAAATCCGTAGACCTGTCCAGCGGCGACCCCAGGCGGCACCTCCCTAGCGCACGGCAAGATGTGCACGCTGACGAAGTCCAGCCCGACGGTGTACAACTCCTCGTAGTGGTCGAGATCGGGCGTGAGCCCATATGCGTCAAAAGACCCCGGGAGGACAGCCAGAACCAACCTCACATGGTGCACGGCAGGGCCAGGACGCCCCGGTACTGCACCATCACATAGCTCCTTGCATTCAGCGCCATCACGCTCGAAATGCAGCACCGCGGCTCCTCACGAATGACAGCTGCGCCCGCGCCTGCTCCTCGAGCGACGCGACCGCCTCCCTCACCACGACTTTCGGGCCCGACTCGTACCCCGAACGCCGCTCCAGGGTCGGGAGCCCCCACACCGCGCCGAGCACGTAGGCGCTGACGACCAGCAGCGCCAACACCGTCACCGCGCCGGCCACCCCCAGCGGCGACGGCGTCTCACAGACGCACGTGGTCGCTGGCACAGCGGGGCAGTGCAGGACTGGGGCGCAGGCTGGGCAAGGCTGGCCCGCGCCCCACAATGCCGCCCCGGTGCTGACCCCGCGCGCGAGTTCCAGGATCGTGGCGCGGGCTACCTGCATAGCCAGAACAAACTTGAGCGATCGTGTCAATGGAACGATGGCGATAGGACGGTGGTGCTCCAACACCGCAGATAACATTCCCGAGCAAGCACATCCATGATGATGATGACGATGTTGATCATGTTGTTGCTGATGATTGGTATGATGATGCTGATGATGATGATGATGATGATGATGATGTTGATGTTGTTGATGATGATGATGATGTTGATGTTGATGATGATGATGATGATGATGGTGGTGGTGATGATGATGATGCTGATGATGATGATGATGATGATGGTGATGGTGATGGTGATGGTGGTGATGATGATGGTGATGAAGATGATGATGGTGATTGTAATGGTAATGCTGATGGTGATGGTGATGATTGTGGTGGTGATGATGATGATGATGATGATGATGATGATGATGATGATGATGATGATGATGATGATGATGATGATGATGATGATGATGTTGACGATGATGGAAAGGATGGTGATGATGAGGGGAAGGACGAGGCGGGGAAGGACTAGCTCAATTGCCAGTCGAGAGCTTAGGGGGGGGCGGTTAGCATTAACCATCCTCTGAGGTTAAGAACAAGAATAATAATAGGAGGAGGAGGAGGAGGAGGAGGAGGAGGAGGAGGAGGAGGAGGGAGGAGGAGAAGGCGACGGGAGGGGGAGGCGAGGGGAGGAGGGAAGAGAGAAGAGGGAGAGGGAGGAGGACAGGAGAGCGGACCGAGAGTAAAGCTCAAGCGACCGGGACCCGAAGGTGCCTCTTCGAGGCGCAGAAGTTCGAGGCCACGCCCCATCGCCGCGCGCGGCGTGTGTTATTCCGCGGAGGGGGGGCCTCGGCGCTCCGTCGACGTTCTGCAAACCACCCCAGCCCCCACTGATGGCGTTCAACAGAACAGCCCTGGGGGGGTACCAGGGTAATAGACAGCACTTCCCTGTTCGATTCCTCTGCCCTCTATCGGGGGGCTGTCCCCTCTTTGTGGCATGGGTACGACGGACGGTTCTTGATGGTTTTAGGCCTCCTGGGACCCTCGCTGGGCCCTGGGGCCGCCAGCAGAACGACTCGGGACTTCAGGCCGAAATGGGGGGAGGCGTGCAAGCCTCAGAGGGTCCGCGCTGTGAGAGTTAGCCACGCGCAGCAGGGGGAGGGCCTGAGGATCCCGCCAGCAGTAGCTTCCGCCACGCGCAGCAGGTCCGACGCTCCCGCCAGCAATAGCTGAGAGGCCGTGGGAGCAGAGGAAGCGCGCCCCCAACCATCGCAGCATGCTCATGACAGGGACGCTCCAGGCCCTCTCCCTGTGAGGGCTTGTCGGTCAGGGGTCGACCTAGACGGTGTTCTGGCGATCGCGTGGGCCGTGCGGCAGAGGCTGGTTGAAGACACAACGCGGGAAAGCAAAAACAACACGAACACGAAAAACACGGGTGATCGTTTTCTTATTTATTGTTTTGCCGATCGGCAGGGCCTTCGCACCCCGCTTTCTCCATGGAGTAGATCTTGGCTGTTTTGGGCGCCTGTTTCAAGCAGGCGGAGTCTCTCCCATAGGACGCAGTGCTGCAAACAGTCGCACTAAGCAGAGGTCCGGAGCTAGACCCCCCCCTCCCTCCCCCTTCCGCCCAATGTCGAAACGCCGAATACGAAAACGCTCACCTCTTTAGGTCGATCCCTGTTGGCTGCCAAAGTTTGGAAGGGCAGCGCCTGAGATGAACTGCGTGTACTGGGAAGTCGAACCTGCTTCCAAGATGAACTGCGTGTAATGGACGCAGGTTCAACTTCCCAATACACGCAGTTCATCCAAGGAAGTTTTTTGTTGGAAGCGGGCTCGACTTCCCAATACACGCAGTTTTGTTGGAAGCAGGTTCGTCTTCCCAATACAGGCAGCGCGGGACCCTGCTTTCACGATCGGCTGCACATGCGGCAGTGGCGTAGGCGCGAGTCTCCGAGAGGCACGGAGGCCCACGGCGTGTCCTGAAAGCTCTCCCTCTCTAGTACAGCCTGCCCCATGGAGGAGGAAGAAGAGGAAGAGGAGGAGGAGGAGGAGGAGGAGGAGGAGGCGGGGGAGGAGGAGGAGGAAGTGGAGGAGGAAGAGGAGGAGGAGGAGGAGAAGAAGGAGGAGGGCGAGGAAGAGAGCGGAGGAGGAGGAGGAGGAAGATGGCATGACTGCGTCCGACCCAGACCCTGAAGCCATCGGCCACGAGGACGAGGCGGAGGAAGAAGAGAGGGTCGGGCGGGGCCAGGACGAGGATCAATATGTTCCAGGGTGTTCGGGAGCGCTCTCAGAGCGTCCTGGAACGCTCTGAGAAGGCCGCGGCGCCCGAGAGATCCTCCTGAGCCGCCGGATCTCAGAGATTCTCGACTCAATTATCTTCACCCGATTTGATCCTCGTCCTGACTTCGTCGTAGGTGACCCGCCGCCAGGCGCCTTTCCGTGATATATGCATTCTCCCAGCACCAGGAAACGCCGGGAGAATTAGCTACGTGAGTTGATTCTCTACCCGACATTTTGCTATCCTGCCCCTTCGCCCCCCCCCTCCTTAAGTCGGATCGCTACACTTGTTCGGCCAGGACGCTACGAGCGTACAGTCAAGACGCTGAAACTAAGGACCACTTCGGGCTCAGGAGGGGCTCTTGTCTCTGGGCCGTCCCGCAGACTCGAGTCGGGAAATTTCTTCGTGGCCGAGGCTCGCCGTGGCCAGAGAAGCCTCTCCGCTCCTTGTTCCCCGCAGCTGCCATCCATGCACCACCACCGTGCCTGGCCAGGGCCACCCTGGGCTCCACGATGGTGCATGGACCTTTCCTTCTTGCCTCGGCCAGGAGGCGTACACACCATGCCTTCGGCGTATGTTCAGCGTTCCTTCTGGTATCACGTGGACTGCAGCATGCCAAGTCCGCCCAGCGCCGAAGCAGGAGGAGGAGGAGCCTTGGGGGCCCCGGTGCGCCTGGGGCGGCTCCAGGGCGGGCAGCGCCGCACTCCGCACGCCCTGCCGGCCCGCGGGGGGAGCCGGCGCGCCACCGCCAGCCTTGCCCCGGGCGGCCTGCTGCCAGGCCGAGGGCAAGAGGTTCGGCATGCACCTCTCGAGCAGTGGCGAAGCGTCCTGGCGTTCCTACAGGCCCATCCAAAGAATGTTCCAAGGAGCTCTCTTGTGGTCTGCAGGAGATATCCATTCGGCATGGACGAGATGGGTACGGAAAGAATGGGTACAATTCCCAACAGCAGTTCCTGTTCATTTTGAACCAGATTCGCTGTCCGCGCCGCCGCGTCTTGTGCCCATTTCAGGCAGAAGGCCGCCTGCCCAACAGCGGCCGCTGTTGGTTTGGGACAACATTTGTTGTTGGGCATTGTACACATTTTTCCGTACCCATCTCGGGCGCCCAAATTCTTAGAGCATTTTTGGTTCTGTATTGTTTTAGCACATCGGGCTTATGTTCTAAGGGCACCGGTTTTGTTCTTAGAACGTTGTTGCGTTCTAAGAACATGTCGTGGTAGGTTAGGAATGCCGGGGCGGTCGGTCCCTGCTCAAAGGCCGAGGGCCAGAGGTTCGGCATGCACCTCGGGGAAGCCAGGGGCCACCACGAGGGTGCGAAGCTGGTCGCGCTTCGCACTTCGCTGTCTGGGCGATTTCAGAGCGAGGCGCGAGTCCCTCATCCTGTTCCGTTGGGGGGGGTGCGGCGCGAGGCGCGAGAATAGTTGCCTTCCTGCCTAGATGCTCGTTCTTGGAACCTTCCTGAGGCCCGATAGATCTGTTGAACTCTACTTCGACTCTAGCTCGACCCAAGCTCGACTCTGATTCGAATCAAGTTCGAATCAGGTCGACGGACGTTCGACGCAGGATCGACGCATGAGTGGAGCGAATGGCTCCAGGAAGGTCCTCAGAAACTCCGTACAGATCCCGCAGTTCAGCATGCACCTCGCGGAAACCGAAACGCGGGGCGGAGGAGTCGGGGGTTGTCAAAGATGCCCTTGGTCCGAGGTGCCTCCAGCTTTTCGCTCCATTTTGGAGCCCTGGGGGCCCTCTGGGCCTCGTAGGGGTGACCTTGGCCAGGGGCACTTCTGGAGGAGGAGGAGGAGGAGGAGGAGGAGGAGGAGGAGGAGGAGGAGGAGGAGGAGTTGGAGGAGGAAGAGGTGGAGGAGGAGGATCAAGAACAGGAGGGCTGGAGGAGGAGAAAGAGGAGGTGCCAAGGAGCGCCCCGTTTGGCCTCTAGGCGCCCGGTGGGGGGAGCGGGAGCGGCGCCGAGGCAGCCGGCGCATCCTCGCCGGCCAGCGCCGCCACCGCCGCCACCGTCGAGTAGCTCGCGCGCAGGACCCTCGGGGGTGGGTGGGTAAGGAAGGAGGTGCGGTCGGCCCGAGGCATAAGATCGAGGTCGGTTCGGGAAAGGTACCCTGATGTTCTTCGCGTTGGTTCGATGTTCTGGTGCATCCTGGGGAGGGTACCCTTGAACGCTCTGTGTGTTTTGGCCAGCGGAGAGTCTCATGCTCTTGAAGGGTTAGACCCAGCTGTGCCAGACAGTGCTGCCCTGTTCGGAGGCAGATCAGTTCTGGTGTTGCTGAAAGTGCCCCTGGCCCAAGTTGCGTACCGAGTTTCGAAGGAGTGCCCCACGACCTCCAGAGCACCCCCCTACGAGGCCCATAGGGCCCCAGAGGCTCCAAAATGGAGCGAAAAGCTTGGGGCACCTTGGGCCAGGGGCACCTTGGGCCAGGGGCACCTTTAGCAACCCCCGATCAGTCACCACGGGAGAAGCAGGTCCTGAGGTGGTTCACCGTTTTCGGGCTCTGGAGGCCTTCCACGGGCCCCAGCGCTGGCAGAGAACGACTCTGGACGGAGAGCTCGTCCTGGGGGGAGGCCCCAGAGTCCAGGACCCGTTTCCCTCAGGACCCGCTCCCCCCCGTGATAAGAGAAGATGTGTTGGACATTGCTACCATTTGCGATCGCAGATCGCGGGAGCCTTCTGTACTCTCGCGAGTCCGATGTTGGAGTGCGCTAGCGCCGATTAGCGTCTGGTAATCGATGAGATGGCGCCGATGTAGCGGCGTCGATTAGCGTCGATTCGCCTCGATACAGCTTCGACTAGCGTCTATAATGGGCATGCGCCCACTGATTGACCCTCATCTTGGACGCGTTTTGGATAGGTGTTGTAGCCCCGTCATTCACGCTGGCCACGCCCCCAGAGCGGCATTTACATATTTGATGAGTTAAGGGAAACGTTTGTATGTTTGGTGAGTTGTCATTCTCACGTGATTTGCATTTGTGGTTGCTTCACTTACGTACAGGGTAGCGGCCGAGCGCCCATGCCAAGCAACACCTCCCACGCCACCGCCCAGAGCCCAGAGCTATCAGGGCAGGGGTGGTCATGCAATATTCATTGTCTGGGCCTTCCGTTTTTGCGCCAGAGTTGTCCCATATTGCATTCATCCTGGTTTTCCTGCATCACATCTTGCCCGATGTAGATATTGTCGAGTACTCTCATGAAACACGGGTTATCTTGGATCAAGCGTCTCAAGGACGTTCCCAGATTGTTCGATTATATTTGGGAGTCCAAGCAGGGCCCTACATGGACCAGGTCTATCCCGGGTAATCTGGGTGCCCAACCTCAGAAGAGGAAGCGACGCCGCAGACCGACCCTTCCCGCGCCACCACGGCTGGATTGGCTTCGAACTCCTGATCAGGACGCACCCGAGGATCGGTCCGAGGGTGAGCGGTATGGGTACACACACATTTAGTTGTACTATTACAATTGGTTCGCTTATTTGTGAAAACACTGATCCAGCACAACGTCGGTTGCCGCTGGGGAGGCTCGTTCGCGAGCGCCCCAGGAGGGCCCAAGACGGTCCCAGATGGCCCCAGGATGGCCCTGGAGGGCCCCAGGAGGCCTGAGGAGGGCCCGACGAGCCCCCAAGACGGCCACGATGGCCCAAGATGGGCCCAAGATGGTCAGTCGACGGCCCAACGGGCTCCCCAGATGGCCCAAGGTGGCCCGAAGACGACTCCCAAGAGGCCCCCAGGAGGGACAAATTATATGCTTTTCCTCGGTTTCGGTGCCATTTTCGCGACTCGGCTTCTAGGTCTCCAGAGCGCTCGAGATGGCAGAGAAAGCTCCCTCGGATCGCTCCGAGATGGCCCAATATGCGCCCAAGGGCCCCACGACGAGGCCAGGACTTCCCAGGAGGGGCCCAGGACGACCCTGAGACGCTGCTCCAAGAGGGCCCCTCGGAGGGGCTTCAGACGGCCCACGAGAACCCCACGACAGCCCAACATGGCCCCCAGACCGCGCCAGAATAGCCCCAAGATGCCCCCAGGACTGCCCAGAGGGACCAAGACGGCCCCAGAGGGCCCCAAGACAGCCCAGGAGGCCCCCAAGACGCATGCAAACGGCATCAAGAAAGCCCGAAGAGGGCCCTCTCGGAACCCTACAATAATACTGCGCGGCTCTTTGTCGAGGAAAGACACGGCATGGAAACAAATCGTCGGAGATCCGCACGGATCTATTGGATCGTCGTTGGACCCCCCCAGACTGGCGGCGCATCCGGCGCCCTCCCATGCCCCATGGAGGGATGCCCAGCTCCGATCCAAGAAGTCCGCCCGAGCCTCCAAGGGTATGCAGTTGGTTGGTCATCAGCTCGAGCTGGAGCTGTAGCGGTCTCGTGTCGCGGTGGCCGTTACAGTGCGCAAGCGATCTCTAGCCCGCCAATGCCCTCGAGTTCCCCCCAAACGTTGGTCGTTTAGATTTTGATAAGTAAAGTTGGGATACTCGGGGACACATTCCCATGGGGATGTCCGGATGCACTCCCTATTCAACGATGGATGCCCCTACATCGTGCATCATTCAATTTGTGCCCAATTCTTGTCTAGCTGCAAGTCCCACAACGCAGGCATTGGGGTCGCCTCGCACCCTGTTCAGAGTAGACCTTCGGCTGCGTCCGCTGCGGGTGGCGCATGCCGAAGCGCGATGCGTGAAGGCTAGGTGACCTAGAGATTTCTTCGGACCGAAATCTCCACCAGCACCGTCCAGTACCCCCCGCTGCCGACCCTCAGGACACCCGCAGAGCGGGCTGGCGCGTCCGGCGGGGGGGAGAGCCTGACTGGCCCGGTTGCGAAGCAGTGAGCGGAAAACAGCTCGACAATTCTCGGCTTCTCGCGCTGGGCACGTTGTCCCAGAGGTTGGGATTGAAGTTGGGACGAGGGGCTTGAGTCCGTTGCCTCTCTTGACGAGGGGTTGAAGTGTTCAGCGTTGCAGTAAGAAGGTGCATTATCGTCGTGGCGACGCGGTGGGAACGCCCAGCGATCGCGTTCAAGGTTGAGCGCCGCCAGGTTCTTGGAACTAGTGGGTGTCAAGGAATCCTGCGGGATCGGAGAGCCGCAATCGTTCAGGGTTGAACTCTGCATGTGGTCTCAGGGACCACCGCTCAGGTCGTCAAGGCACGGAGCTGCTGCACGTCTGTTCGGGGGCAGGTCAGTTGTCTTTGTCGCTTCGTTTGACAGCGTTGCGCGTACTTCTACAATGGCGTATCCACAAACCGTGAAGACTTGGCGACGACTCCCAAGGAGATTGCCATCCGAAGCACCGCATTTGTCTTTGTGAGGACGACTTTTCTGTTCGTGGCATGTACGCAGTGTAATAAATGATTCTGAGGCTGTCGCAACAACGCCGACCCCTTGGGGAACTGGCGGTTGTGGTGTGTTGCTCCTGAGCGCCTGATTGTCGAATGGCCTTCGGCACGTCCCGTCGCCATGCCTGACTGCGGGTCTGAGGCCACGCGGATGGTGGACAGGGCCTCGTGGGAGGCGCCTCGGGGGTGTTTCGAAAGCAGTTGTTTGCATCTCTTGGGGGCCTCCTGGGCCGCCTGGGGGCCTAGAGCTTTTCTGGGGGCCTCGCGGAGCTCCTTGTGAGCCTGTGATCGATCTTTCGGCAGCTCGTGGCCCTCTTGGACCGGTGGGGCTGCTTACATGTAAAAATAATATACATGAGTGTGTCCACACAAGCATACACGAGCATTTGCATGTTGTTGCCGCTGTCTCCGGAACATTTTGGCAGGGCATCATGGCCAACACGGGTGAAACATATCCTGGACGTTTTGGCGCAATCCACTGCGTGCTTCATCTGATGACCGCGGTCCATCATTGGCAGTTACCCCGAGAGATGGCGAGCGAGAGAGAGAGAGAGGGATAACGAGATATAACAAAAATAACAATATCCGAATAGGATCCGCATCTGATCCGCACCTGGATCCGACGCCCGAGGCGACGCTGACACGCCCGATCGGGGGGCCCGCGTCACCGTTTGCGGGGGCCACTGCGTACGTTTTCCGGCGCCCCACGCTGCGCCCATCGCCTGCGATTTGCCGCAATTTTTTTGTTCCCAGGCTGGCTGCGCCGACGGCCCCTGGCCTGGTTGGACCAATTTTCTGGTACGTCGTGCGACTTGAAATTCGAACCTTCAAGCCGAGTTCTCAAATTGTGGCAATACCTGACCGTCTGTAACAAACAGTCAGGTAAAGTCGGTACGATTTGCTTGGACTGGACCCGTGACTGAACCTGGAAGACGGCGCACGGGCGCGAGCGCGCCCGGGTGCGTTCAGAAGCTCGCATTGGCACGTCGAGGGCGAAGGCGACAACGACGGCACAGTAATATTTTAGAAGTGCCGCTTGAGGAAAGTTCTTGCAGGAGAGCTTCTGACAAATTGAAGACTGCGCCTGGCCCCGTGCCCTGGGCAAGTCGTCCTCGGATTCTGTGGCTGCCCTTAATCTATTTCATACGAGGGGGCAGTGGTCAGACAGGATCCTCACGAAACGCGTTATGTTCCCATCACTCGGATCCGTTCGAATCCTAAAGATTTCGCAGAGGATCCATCCAAGAAGCTTCGGATCCGTAGCGGATCCGCGCCCGGTTCCGACGCCCGGGGCGACGGTCGCACGCCCGAGAGAGGGCCCGCGTCACCGTTTGTGGGGGTCCTTGCATGCGTTTTCAGGCGCCCCGCGCTGCGCCCATCGCCCGCGACTTGCCACTGATCTTTTTCCCCCAGGCTGGTTGCGCCGACGGCCCCCGGCCTGGTTGGACCAACGGTCTGATGCCTTCGTGCGATTTGAATATTCGGGCCGACTTCTCGAATCGTACCAAATTGCCTGATTGCATGCAGCGGACAGTCAGGTAAAGTTGCTACGACTTGCCTGGACCGGACCCGTGATTGAACCTGGAAGACGGCGCGCGGGCGCGAGCGCGCCCAGGTGCTCCCAGCAGCTCGCACAGGCTCGGCGAGGGCGAAGGCAACAACGACGGCACAGTCAAATTCTGGACCATTCGCGTATCCCCACCAACCCATCCAGAAACGATGTCCAGGCGAGTAGAGGTGATCAGGGAAGTGCGGGAGCCAAGACGTGGACGGCCGAACTGTGCGAGGGAGGGAGGAGAAGTAGGAGGATGCTGGATGGATGGATGAGGGAGTGGGGAGAAGGGAGATGAATAGGATGATGAGGAGAAGGAGGAGGAGGAGGACGAGGAAGAGATGGAGTAGGAGGAGGAAGGAGGAGCAGGAGGAGGAGGGCAAGCAAAAGGGCCAGACGTCTCTTGGATGCCTTTGAGGAACCTCGTGGGATATCTCTTGGGCGCTTCTTGGAAGCCTCTTGGGACGTCTTGGGGGTCTCTTGGCAGTCCTAGGGGGCTTTGGGCGTCTTGGGTACCGCGGGGAGGCCCCTTGGGGCCGCTTGGGGTCCTATTGGGGGCCTCCTGGGGGCCTCTTGGGGGCTATCTTGAAACCATCTTGGGGCCATGTTGGGAGGGTGCCTCTTGAAGCCATCTTGGAGGACATCGATCAAAAAAGGGGGTTCCTTAACTAGGGCTGCCCGTCTAGAGCGTCTAAAGTTATGAGATGAACTCCCTCTACAGAAGCCAACATGGCATCTTGAATACTTTACTCCGCAAGTACTCTGCAGGGTACTCCGCGGTGTTTTCCCTAAGTACTCCGCAGGTACTCCGCGGATACTCCGCGGCGTACTCTGCGCGGAACTGGGTGCTCCGCACTTTACCCTGCTATCTAAAGCGCTGGGCTAGGCCTTTCCAGCGGACGTGGGGGGCGCGCCGCACGCACGACGAGGTTGCACGACGGAGCGCGTGTTTGTCTCATTCGCTCTTACGAGCGAATGCGACCTCATAGGCACAGCACTGGTCGTCAAACCGCGGCCCCCGAAGTATCCAAGAACAGGGGCGCGAAGAACCCGACCGTCGGACGCAGGCGCGCGGCCCACCGAGACATTCGGCGGAGCTCCACAAGGGGGCAGCGGAACGCGTGAGGTACACGGGATGCGCACTCGGGGGCCGCGGCCGCTGGGGCACTCGATGGAAGCCCGTGCGGGGCTACGGCGAAACGCGCAAAGGGCGCACCGCAGTAGACGCGAGGGAGTTCGAGCCAAACCGCCGAATGGCTCGAACCAAAATGGCTAAGGACATCCCCCCTCCTCCTCCTCCTCCTCCTCCTCCTCCTCCTCCTCCTTCGCCCTCCTCCTCCTCCTCCTCCTCCTCCTCCTCCGCGTCGCCCTCCTCGCCCTCCTCCCCCACGTCGTTGTCGTCCTGCCCCCCTTCCTCCACCTCCTTTTCCTCGGGGCCGCGGCGCCAAGACTTGTTTGCGTGTTCCTTGCCACGGGGCTCTCACGGACGAAGCCATCCGCGAACGTGCAGCAACACAGCGGGACATGTGCTGCGACTGCATCTCGGCGGGGACGCAAGGCATGTCGTTGCATCGTATGTGTGTGTCGGCGTGTGTGTGTGTGTGCGTGTGTGCGCGCATGTGCGTAGGCGCGCGTGCGTGCGTGCGTGCGTCTGCATGCGTGCGTGCGCGTGGTCCCCCTTCTGGCGGTGCCAGCCGCCCCCGCCTCGAGAGCAGCAAAAACTTGCGGTTCAAGGCCGATTCTCCTGCTCCTCCTCCTCCTCCTCCTCCTCCTTTTCCTCCTCCTCCTTCTCCTCCTCCACCCCTCCCCCTCTGGTCCTCCTCCTCATCCTAAGCCCTACGTATGCCCTCCCCCCACTCGCCCTCATCATCCCTCTCTCCTCCTCCCCCTCATCATCCCCTTCCTCCTCCTCCCCAGCCTGCCTCGTGCCCCTCCTCCTTCTCCTCCTCCTCCTGCTCCTCCTCCTCCCCCTCCTCCTCCTCCTCCTCCTCCTCCTCCTCGCCCCTGCCATCCTCCCCACTGCTCACCTCCATCCTCCACCCCGCCGCAAGTCCTCGGACATGCGGGGCCGCCGCCGGCGGCCTCAGGAGCTAGCAGCAGCTAGCCGATGATGCGCTGCTGCGTCTGGGCGACGTCCCTGATGGTCGTGCGCAGCAAGACCTTGTCGTTGACCGTGGTGATCGCTCTCATGATGTGGCGAGCGGCCACCGTCATCTGGCACTCGGTGATGATCTCGGCGCGGTTCACCTCGTGCGCATCCTTATACTCGGGCATGTACTCCATGAAGATATCTCCGATCTGCTTCGTTGTCTGCTCGACCTTCTCGAGGCTAGCCTCCAGGGCCTCGATGTTGATCCTCCCGAGCGTGGCCTTGAAATGATCAACGAACTTCTCCCACGAATCCTCGGGGGCCCCATTGAGCCAGCTCTTGCCGTCTTCGTCGGGGTGCCCTCCCTTGCCCCTCTCGACCGTTGTCCACTCATTCTTCATCATCTCAGTCAGCAGCTCCACCCTCTTCGATCCGATCTCAGGGATGAGCTGGGTCAGCTCCTTGTCCAGGTTCTCAATGAGACGATCCTCTGACCAATCGAAACCACAACCTTTCACCTGCTCGATGCTTTTGCTCAGGGACTCGGCCGAGCGGAGGAGGCGCTGGCTCTTCGCCATATCCTTGTCATCCTCGGTACACTTGTGCACGTCACCCAACTTCTTGAACTCTGTGAGTGCTATCATCGCAACCTTTGTCGTCTTGTACATGCTGTCCTGCTTGATGAATAACTTCTTATTGCTTCCACTGGGTAATACCGATGTCAGTTTGGACGCCCAGTCCGACATGATGTCAATCAGGTTCGATGTCTCGTCTGAGTCGATGTGGCCGATCTTCTTGAACGCTAGCTCAATCATTGCTGCCCTGGCGTTCGTCAGACCCTTGGTCTGCTCCTCGTTCAAGTCCACGTCGTGCCTCCACCCCCAGGACTTGAGTTGCTCGACCTTGTCGGTTAGTTCTTTCGAGTCCAGCTGGCCCCACTTGGCGTCGATCAGCGCCAACAAGCTGTTCGCGTAGTCGGTCTTGCCAGACTCGTGGA